CAAATTATCAGGCCATCCTTGGTCTCTAAGTCGATGGACTAGTCGGCCAGGAAGTACGATATCAAAAGCACCCCTCACATCAAGCGTCAGGAGGGAGGCAGTAAGCTTACTATTCAGTGCTGTTTCGATATCATGTACTAGACAGGTCGTCAAATCTGTGGCCGAGCGGAGAGGGAGGGCACCAAAGTGTTGTGAGGCTGTTATCTTTGCTCTGATAGCTGTCCAAGAGAGGCGGCGGGCGATCACTCGTTCAAGGCCTTTCCCCAGGGTCGAAAGGAGAGCAATGGGTCGGTATAAGCGTGGGCTAGATCTATCTGTCTTGTTGGGCTTGTTTAACATAACCAGCACAGCGGTCTTGAAGCAGGTAGGGTGGTGTCCAGCCTGGAGGAAGCCTCTAAAAAGATCGCAGACCCGAGTTTCGATTAGTGGCCAGCCAATTTTTAGGATTGCCGTTGGAATTTCGTCCTCCCCGGGTGCCGCATTGCCTGATCTAATGACCGAGTCCTTGTTTTCGGTCAGGGTTAGGTCTGGGAAAGGAAGGCTAGTGACGCCGACTGATGGTGTATCTAATGGAACATCTATTGCATCAGAGGCATTTCGCAATAGGTTCCAAACTAGTACTTCTCGCTTGTCTTGAAGTGTGTTTGCAGGTGAGGCACCGGGGTTGGTTGGATCTTTGAGAGGTGGGGTGCGAAAGGATCCTACTGTTCGGTGCCAGTTAACGATCCCAAACACGTCTTTTGCTGTATTGGCATGACTTATCTTGTCCTGAAAAAACTTTAGCTTTACCCTGCGTACTGCAGCGCGCAGTAACTTTTTCCTGGCGGTGATATCATTTTGATTAGCCGAGCTTCTTCTAGCCGTTCGGTAGGCCTGTGCAGCGTTTCTGCAGTCGTTGTTCCACCAAGGTTGCCCGGTCCCCTTTCCAAGGACTCGCTGCACAGATGCTCTATAGGCATTCTAGAGGGCCGTACAGATGCCTTTAGCGAAGAAATCTAGAGGATTAGGCTTTGGGTTTACGGGGAGGTTTTCTAGCCCTGCGATCTCCAGTTCGAGAAGGGAAAGCAAAAGTTTTTCGTCGAGCGTGCTGATTTTGAGGCGAGATATTGGCTCCTGGAAGCGGCTATCCCACGGAATTAAAGATGCAATAGGAAGATGGTCAGATGTGACGTCCAGCTCCGGTACTATTGAAGATTCCGCTCCCGAGAGCATCAGCGGATTGGAGGCAAATGCAAGGTCTAACACGCTACCGCGGCTATGCGTTGGAGTATCCAATTGAGAGATTAAAGTAAGATTGAGACTATCTATCCACCTGATAAACGGTTCCGCTAGTGGACTGTTAGTTGAGGATGATGCTTGCCACCGCGTATGCCTGAGGTTTAAGTCTCCAGCGAGGAAAATTCGGTTAGAATTACTTGAGAAGGTGAGATCAAGGAGGGCTCTAACGGCCTCACCCCCATTTTTTGAGCCGGCGGGGGCATTGTAAACATTCACTACTAGAAGTTTTGCTCCAGATGGTGCAGTAACTTCCAAGAAAAGGAGATCTCTCGCAGCTGTGCTCATTAGAGGGAGGGGTCGTTGTTGACATACTTGTAGTCCCGCCCCTTTGCGTATATACGTGAGCACTCGAGGTCGGGATGACCAGTCATCCGTGGGGGTAAAGCACTCATAGTTGGGATTAAATTTGGTGATGCGGCGCTGTCGGTCAGTGAAGATATAGGGCTCTTGAATGAGAACGATGTCAAATCTTTCTTCATTCGCAAAGGTAAGTGCAAGCTCATGTGAAGAGGCTCCCCTACAGACGTTGATCTGTAGAAGCCGTAGCGGCCCTATAGACCTGTGCCGTCTAGACTTCATTTTCGACGTCTAGGACAGAGTAGCGATTCCCAAGGAAGACCGTGGGACGTGAGGGTGGAGGAGAGGTGGTCCGAACAAGCTGGGTCGAGCTCGGGGATCCTTCAAGCATTAGTGGGCCGGAAGGCGTGTTAGAGGGGTTTGTCGCATGTTTGTAGGTGAGAGTTTGGCCCGAAGGAGTGTCAGTCATTTCCTCGTCTACTGTAGCGGGAGTGGTGCGGTCACGGATGCAGCCAACAGTAGTGCACAGACCCATTCTTGCTGCGGCAGATGTACTGCGGATTTGGGCTACTTCCCCTTTGTCAGCTTTATACCATTTGACCGGGGTCTGAGTAGGCACTATGGTGCATCGGCTGGATGTGGACCAATGCAGTGGATGCATCGGGGTGGGCAGGGATGTTGGTGCGGTCCACATGGAGTGCGGGTTTCCTCTGTATGCTCAACTGAGCCACAGAGACGGCAGCGTGGAGCGCGAGCACATATACGCTGGTTATGCCATTGAAAACATCTTCCACATTGAGCGATATTAATTTTCTTGGACAGTTTGCGGCAGTTGATGCCCATCCCAAAAATATGAAATCTTCGTGGGAGGTGAGAGCCTATAGGGAAGCGAGCAATAAATCTAGTGGAAGGATCGTAAGGGGATGCAATACTCCCTTTGGTTTCGACTACAATTGTAGGATTAAAACCTTTTTCTTCTTTAAGCTCCTTGAGGACGAGCTCTGAGGTGATTGGCTCCTTGAGGAGTCTATTATTGTCGTCTAAAGTGGTGAATGTGCGAGGTACAGACGTAATAAGATAACTGTCCAGGTTTTGAGCTTTTTCGATGCCCAGAACACCTGGGAATCTCCCTTCCCCGATGCCCTGGACGAAAAGATCTTCCAGCCTTGATAAGGACGCTTCTGAAGAGGGACGAAGTGCCAGGCCGGATGGAATATGCTGCACTTCTTTCAACAGGGCGGAGTTCTCTCCAAGGAAATTCCGGAGTTGAATGAGAAGGGAGTACGCTGATACTAGGCGTTCAGTTGAATTTTCATCAAGGCGTAGGAACAATCTGTCGTCTAAAGGCAGTGATTTGGCCTGTTTTTGGAGCTTAGCAGGTTTTGGCTTCTGGGGGGTACTTAATGCAGCATTGCCTTTCGGTTTTCCTGCAACGTGCGCATAGGAATGCCTCGCATGGGCAGCTGGTTTTGGCTGAGATATAGGAAGACGATCAGTTGTTGCAGGAATTGGTACACCACGCACATGGCTTTCGAAGAATTCTTGTGCAACAGCTTGCATACGTGTCAGGAAATCGTTAAAAGATTTCTGTAAATGAGGAGGGATTATTAGGGCAGCGGTGCCACGAGTGACGATTTCTAATGCTGCAGCCACGCCGCCAAATAAAAGAGTTGCTTCCTGCGTTCTAGTGTTGGCTGCGGAGGTTGCTTCAATGAGGGTCTCTGTCAATGTCTTTGATGCCCCTACCGATAACGGGGGAATAGGAGGGGGAGGGGGATCTGGCATTTTTCGCAATGTATGGGGTAAGAATGTTACGATGGCTTGGAGTGTATATCAAGATGTATATGACAATTGCTGTTGTAATCTCCGACCTTCGTCCAATATGTTCAGGGTGTACACAAATATGTGGATTGGTCTTTATCAACTCTATGGACCACAAATATCCGTGGACAGGGTGATGGTTAAGGCACATGACACCGCATTTCATCTCGAGCTTCTTTAGCGTGTCATAAAAATTGCTACACTGGTTTTTAAAAATTAGAATATGATTTACAAGCGTCAAATAGAGCTTTATAATACGACAAATTTCATCTAGTTGGCATTAAAGCTAGGGTCAAGAAATGAAATTATTTCGCGACTCTAATGCATAAAGGCCGAGTATTAGCAAAATCCTCACAGAGCCAAGTTCAATTAAATTTCGCAACACCAGATGTTGGCTCACAAGGCAATGATTCAAAACACTCTGCAATGCCAAATTTTCACTACCAGCAAGATTGAATCCTAACTAAATCTTACCGAGTCTATAATTACGACCTATTATATCCTCGTTCCAATGACCACACCTCTCTTCGACTTTCTCTGGCCTCAGCTGGTCACGAAATACACGCCAACGCCGATATTTACACCCACAAGAGGAATTAAAGCGTGACGCACAAATCTGCGAGATAGTTCTTTGGGATGGACGTGAAAGAGACCAGAACAAGTTCACAAGATGATGCAGAGGATAGATACAGTTTCGAAGGTCGTGAAATCTTAGATTTTGGCAAAGAGTTTTACGAATTGAACTTTGTGCGTGCGCCACGAATTCAATTGCGATAGTGAGGCTGACACTATAAACGCTGCCATGGTTAGATGGTGCGGTGGTACATCTTCTGTTCCGTTCTCGTAAGTAAGGTCTGGATAGCTTTGACACATATTCCACTCGAGACAGGAGATCGCTCGTTAGAATCTGGCGAGACATAACCACATTTCTCGTGATACAAGCTTACACGGATGACAAAGGCATACTTGAGTAATCAAAGGCTTCGAAACGCCCCTTTGGTGGGTGCTTACGCAGGAGGGTCGACCGTTTTTGTTAAAAACCCACCTCATCGCGGTATTTGCAAATGAAATCCAGAAAATGAGTGTCTCTGATATCAAAAGAGTCATCCAGAATGCATACATAGCACCGATTATTTGTCATAGCTAGATAGCTAAAAACATAATAAATGATTTTTCATAAAAAGAAATTAAAAAAAGAGTACAAGCAAAATCTGGTGCCTTTTCAAGTCCTTAAAGAAAAGGGCAAAAAATAGAATAAGATTATTGCCATTACCCATGTTCTTGGTGAAATATATTTATTCCGTCTATGGCGAATCGAAAAATCAAGTTCAATCAAACTGTTCGCCATATTTATTAACCGGCCCTTCATAAGAGTAATTTCGTACTGAAACCCCTTCAATAACCGATAATTCCAATCTTATACCTTCTGCATCTCAAAGTAAAATCTTGAGATTAATAGATATTCATTCACCAGGACTTCCTAACAAATCCAGAATAACCCCTAATCTAGATAGGAGATTCCTCAAAATTAATAGAACTAAGTGACACATCCCAATTTTCTACGCCTCATCATTCCGAATCATTTTACCTAATATTTCCAGAAATTACTTTTCCAACTCGTCAGCCCCATATCCCTCCAGTGATCGAGGATCCATGCTGAATTAAGTCAGTTTCTGAACTCCAACTTACAGAGTGTATATCAAATTGCCGCGCATAAACTTCGACTCGACTTACACTTCAAACCAGTTGAGTGGCCATGTTGCTTTTTTACAGCTCATATAAGAGGTCTCGTCCGGATCGGCTTTTTCGCGCACCATTCCGAGAAATTGGCATTTGGACGGCGAAAATACAACAAAGTTAAAGCTATGCATGACTAATCAAAGTTTGATTAATTAAAGACTTCTATCTCGAACAATAAAATTTTCCGTGGATCCAATGTATATCTTCTAAGCCTGAAATATTACTGGCTATAAGAAAATGGGATATCAAACATTCCAAGTGTATCGAGAGCAAAACTTGGACTCGAGAAGCACGCAAACTCCAAAGAATTGGATAACTTACATAGAGCAGTTTCAGGCACGGCATCCATCTGGGCATCTTTTGGAAACCCAAATTTTACTGTTTCGGGAAAAGGCTTGACAGAAATAGGGCCGCCAAAAAGATCAAATAAAAATAAAGAGAACCCTTTCTTTTGCTTTCTTTTCCTGATATGGTCACAGGCACCTTTCATCGTCGATCTAATATCTCTGATATTAACTTGTGATGAAAGACATTTATAACCGACATGTCTAGGCTTGGAATTTCGTTTATTGAAGTCGGAAATGCTAGAGCTGGGAGCTGGCCGAGCAAAGCTGCTACAAATTAAAATTAAAAAGAATAAGACATAAATCATGTAAGTGTGGGCGAAGAGTCTCATGGTGAAATATTCTGAGCTTTCGGCGAAGGGATTCTAAGTTATTACGAAGAAAATAATAGAGAATTAAATAAAAGATGAATGATCAATAATACACAAACCTCAACTCTGGCCAGCATTCTTATAGAATTAATTCTTCTGATGTGGCGAATTCAAAGCCTCATAGCCTCCAATTTCTGACAATCAGATTTTTATCTGTGTGGCCCAAAATATGTAGCTAAGTCGAAGCTTTCAGAATATTCAGGCTAAAGAACACTAGCCAGCCATACGGTCCACTCCATAAAAACTGGAATATAGAGATAAACACGCTTCAATAGCTCTAAACTCTTCGAAGACAGAAAATTTACTTGATTCATTCAATTACACACATCAGACTAACCGGAATAGATCATCAGTGTCATGCCTCCCAAAATGCTACTTTACAGGGCGATTATTAACTTTAGTGGAGAACCTTTATTGTACTAGACCTAAATACCACGGAGTTGATGGCCCTAGAGAAAAGCGAGCAGTAATTATTTCCGATATGTTCCATAGTATAGCTCCCATGTGAACATATTCAAGCGGTTAGTCGAATATTTGGAATATGATATTGCCTCATAGATGTTGCAGAGAAATTTTGTATGCAGGCGATCAAATTTTGCAACCAGCATCAAAGCTGAGTTGATACAATTTTACGCTTCATATTTTTAGTGAAAGATGGGCATTCGGGGCGTCTCGTTCAAAAGTTTTGATGGGCTAGCCGAGAAAGAGGCGTATTCTTGATAGTGGAGAACTGGTCATTTCTTGTATCTTAAATTCCCTTGGGTTTATATCCTTCATACATTATGTACAGTCAGGAAAGAAATATGAGGAATCTGACATTTGAACGCTCTCAAATCGAATCAATCAGAGGTAAACCGTTTATCAAATCTATCGCTTGACCTCGATTATGAGTCCTCCTATCTATTTACCACCAATTATCTATTAAAGTACGAACATGTGCGTCGGCTTATCTGGGTCAGTTAAGCGGACGAAGAAGGGCGAGTTTTATGGTTTGTGGCGAATACGACTGGATGGCGATGTTTTGCATGCTCCGGCACGTAGAGACCGGTAGAAATCCAGCAGCCTCATTTTTAGAAAAGACTTGAAATTTAGGCTGGCTGGGCTGGGTTGTCTACAATCGTCATCTATCTAGCTTACCAGACGAATAACCCAAAAAAATAATACTAAAGCTTCTCTTAAGAAAGATTCGTGGGACACGGTATTATGTTGTAAATTTTAACTATTTTTTTATTTATCTTTATTTAACGTCTGGCGGATCACGCGTCAAGCGAGTAACCCTATTGAGTCCCTACTGAGACAAAAGACGCTAAATTTTAACTAGAGAACTCTGATGAAGTCTATGTATTGATAGTCAGGTCACATGACCTGACTAGCTTAGTTTACATGAGTAGGTGAAATAGCTCCGCTTGACAGCTCCTAATACCCTTACATCCTGTAGTTTATTTTCAATGATCAGGAGATCAAGAGAATTTTACGAGTTGCGACAATTGGTTTGATTATAGTTAATTATCAAGCAGGAGATAAATTGTATTAAAAGTTTATTAAACCCTCAAACGGCACATTTATCTCATTTTTGTGTATCAAGTCATTCGTAGATAGTTGGATATCATTTGATAAGATTTCCACACGAAATATTTCAAAAATATTCCTCAATAACATGTATCTACTGGTTTTTTCCTCTCTAAAACGCATTTATACCAAGATTGAGCTCGACAATGTTTGTTTTTATCAAGTATATAGTCTATCTCGGTAGCTGCAGAGAGAAAGGACATCTGATCCTGTCTAAGCCCATCTCATTCTCTAAGCAGAGGTTTTTATAAATAATTCGTACAGCCCCAAGGTAGCTAGTTGTAGAATTCAATTCAAAGCTCAAAGTTAGAGGTTTAACTCGACAGTATGTTACCTCATCTTGTCATCAAAAAACTCAATAAAAATAGTACTTTCAGATATCATTTCCAGGTGTAAGTGTGGAATGATGTATCTATTAAGTTGTAAAGATCCTTCAGGTTCTGCAGTCTTGAGAATCGAATCTGCATGATGTATGCAACTCTGACGAATTTTATCGCTCCATCATTTTGGAGAGTTAATAATCAATAGGCGTGAAATATTTCTAATTAACGTATTTGATCAGTAAATATCATCCAAGAAGCTTTAAGCTTGAACTTTTGTGTAATCTTGGAGACAATATATTACATTCATAAAACTACGCGCACTCACCACCGGTATGTATCACGCACTGGCGAGAATTTCACATGCTATGAAAAAGTTATAGGATCTGAAATGCTTGCATTCTTACAGATAGATCCCAATAATCAAAACTAACGCTCTTTCTTGGAATAGGATCTAATTTTCCATCCACACGAAAAGGCAAGATGTCAAAACGGCTTTGTATCGTGACTCAAGTTTACCTCGGAACCTTGAATGTAAGATTCCATAGTCATATACTGATTCCTCTTTAAAATTTGTCATGAATACCTTACAGATATATCTAGACATTCAGTACCTCGTTACAGAGCTCCTTGCCTGCTTACAAACGCCTCATATTGAACCTTCCTCTATGATTTATAAAATTCTCTTTCGATTATGTCACTCATCAAGAAAGTAGCGGAGGATTAAATTTAAACGCTTTTCATCAATATCGTCTACGAGCCCGGATTGAAAAGTGTTCTAAGGACTGAGTGTTGTCAAATTCTAGAATATCGAAGAGGTTTCCCACGGGGCAGCTACTCAGGATTCTCTTTTGCATCAATCTTTCATTGCCGGCAATTTTTATTCCGACCAAGGGCTTATCCAGTCTAAAGCACAACCTAGGACATCCTTATTTATATGACATAATTCAAATCGACTTGGCATCTGGCTTCAACTAGCCATTTAATAAATGTTCATGACAATAAGGGCTTAAATGACGTGAATTAGGCAACAAATTTGGCGTGGCAGATGTATGGTATGAAAGAGAGAGAAATCAGGATAGATGAACAAGACAGCAAAGGTAGACACAATTTTGGGAAGAAATTTTCAAGCTGAATAGCGTTTTGCGTGCAAGAAGTCGATGTTTACATTGCAGGGAATACTTCAAAGACCGGCTATGGCTGGATAATGAATTGGTGGGAAATCAGGGCTTTTCTCTCGGGTACAGTATGGATAGCCTAGATTCCACATCCTCCGCAACCAAGAGAAAGCGTGGGGGCATAGCGCTATCTATATCCTACTTGAAAATTCCGCCGCAGTTCAGGCAATACTGACAGGACTGACAACCTCATCATCCTGGCGGGTTCAAAAGTTCTGGAAGATGGCCGCTAAAGCAGCAGTCCCCCATAAGCCAAGACCCCAACTTTGTATTTTTCGACTTGATTTCCTCCTTGCGGGTATAAATAGCGTCGTAAATATGTAGTGAGAGATGGCTAGAGATTAATGGGGCAAGCTCCTGTATGCAATTAGAGTAACGCCTTTATCGGTCGGCGAGGCGAGATGATATGTGTTTAGATGGGGGATGAGGACTCAGAAGATAATGGTGAGTGCTGCATGGCTGAGAAGTCGTCAAATGGAGATATACATGTGTTTGCTTTCGACTTCGATTCGGATGCGATTCTTCTTGGCTATCCCAGATATGCAGAGCATACTGAGCGATTACACCGGCACCACTGGAAGGTGAAGAATTCGTCTTTGCCGGCTCTGCTGATTGATTTTTTTTTTTGAATCATTTAATGTGTATTCAGCTATCTAGCTATGACACATGACCGGTACTATGTATACATGCTGGATGACTCTTTTGACATTAGAGACACTCATACTCTGGATTTCATTCGCAAATACCACTATGAGGTATGTTCGCTTACACAAACAGTCGACCCTCCTCCGTTAGTATCCACCAAAGGGAATTTCAAAACCTTTGGTTATCCAAGCATGCCTTCGTCATCCATGCATACCAGCGCCGCGAGAAATGTGGTTGTGTTTTGCTGTATTTGAACCAGCAATCTACTGTCTCGAATTGGATATGTGTCCAGGCTATCCAGACTCTACTTGGCAGACCGGCCAAGACGATGTACCACCGCACCATCCAACCATGGCGGTTTTTATAGTGTCGCCCGCACTCTCGCAACCGAAGACTTGGCACGCACAAAGCTCAATTTGTAAAAACTCCTTTCCAAAACTCAAAATTCCACGCCTGTCGAGACTGTATCCAATCCTCTGCATCATATTATCAACTTGTCCTGATTCCTCTCACGTCCATCCCAGAGAACGGTCTTCCAGATTTGTGCGCCACGCTTTGCTTCCTCCGTCGGGTATAAATATCGGCGTGGGCGTGTATCTGGCGACCAGCTAAGGCCAGAGAAAGTCGAAAAGAGGGGTGGTCATTGGAATGAAGGTGTACTAGGTCGTACTTGTAAACTTGATGAGGCTTAGGTAGGAATCTATTTCGTTGGGTGTGAAAGATTGATATGGTGGAGTATTTTGAATCATTGCCTCGTGGGCCAACTTGTTCGGTATTGCGAAGTTTGACTGAACTTGGCTCTTGGAGAATATTTCACTCCCAGGTTCGTAGAGGACACCGCGTACAGGTGTTCAATCTTGCCCTCCATGCTGATTGATTGACGTGGTGCATAACAATATTTAAATAAGTTTATGTTCATGAATTGCGGTCTCGCCTCAACCTGGTTCTGGGTACAATAACGTGAGTACATGTGGTACGTGCACGTAAGCATATAGTCCATGCCCGCCTCCGAATACATTATATTGTCTGCTAATCTACTTCTTTCAACTCTTCATTTGAGCTGCCTTCCTATCACTTACTCTTTCTTGTGATTTCATGTTTATTATTTTAATTATTATCCATTTATGTATTATTTGAGTTTATAACTTTGTAGGACAAACCATTTAAAAAAACATATTCTCTTTCCTATTCTAATTGGAAGTTTAATGGTTCACCAGGGGAGGACTTTGAACCTCCCAAAAGAAATTTAAAAATAAGAACAATCAAACCATGTATTTCAAAATTATTTCCCTCCTTATCGGTTATCGGTAAATTTGTCTGGTCCAAAACGTCGGACTATCAGAAGGACTACCTGTCAGGAGATTGATAATATCTGCGTGCAGATAAGTCAAGCAGACCACAAAGGGAACTGACAACAGGCACGCCAAGAATCGAAAGCAAGACATTGAAGAATGGACCAGAATTTGTGGCATGGAGAATGCGAAAGGGAGACAAAAAGATACCTGTGAGGTATGTGTGAGTAATTTTTATTGTACTACTTGAGTCTATGACTATCTAGCACATTAGGCTCCTCTCTGACCCAGGCCACACCTTGTACAGTGCTCCTTGCCTCTCATGTTTCTTGAAAGATCATTGATATTTTGCCCTTGACGCAAAGCCATCCAGCTCAGTGTTGACCCGTGGAGTTCGGCCACCTTTTCCACGGAACCTTACACCCAAAAAAAATGGTAGCAATGGAAACTGCGTGCGCGGGAAAAAGTCTCAAAAACCCTGCAGCCCCAGCCAGGCGAGGCTTAGATACCGAGACCACATAAGGTGCGCATATTCATATATATCTCCCTTCTTTGTAACATTCGAGGCAGACTTGATACAATCCATCATCGCCGTATCGGGTGCTGGGTCCGCTCCGGAAACTCATCGGATGGCTTTTCCTCCATGAACAAGAGTTGATGATGAGAAGGGCTTCGACCCTACCATCTGATCTGATCGTTGTTAGCTCCATGATAGGGGAATGTGTTGAGAGATGAAGACGATACAGACCGCAAAAGCGATTGGGAATCCTTATCGAAGCGAGGACTTTGTTACTCAATCTTGGCCCTGCAGACTCTACAGTGAGAGCTGGAGGTTTTTAGGGGACACCACTGACAGTTGTTGAGAATAGTCCCTCAACTCTTAGTAATAGGAGAAGTAAAATTGAATAGTTGGTAGAAAGCTAGTCAAGACACTCAAATACACAAGTGAGACGTGTACGATTAAACTGCCTAAATAAATTTTCTTTTAAGATCTGGAAGGATAAAAGATGATTGCTTGCCTTTCGAGGTGTAAAGGTTAGAATTATCATTTGGAATAGATAGGATATTTCTCTATCTCATGAATCGTTTTCAGCAATTATGTCTTCATCTATAGCTGCACAGGGTTGTATTGCCGTTTTTTGCTAAGATCTGGCACCTAAATTTGCAGACGCCGCCGACTGATGCACAATCTTTGTCCTCCGCCATTTGAGATTGCCATTTGCGAATCATCTGGTTACGAAGGAACCCGGGCTTAGATATCTGCGGAAAAAGTGTTCGACAAAGTTTTATTCCCGTTTTCGAGCACAAATTACCAGACTCTGTAGTTTAACATTCTCGGCTTAGCCAGTCCTTGTTTGAGAATGGGGTTTATTTTCAAGAATATTTCATCCTTAGCTTGATGGGGGATATAAAAAGCAATTATTCAGCTTTAATTCTATCTAGTCACTCAACTAATCGCATCCTATACGAAACTAATTTACTTTTGTGAATTCTTTGTATCTAACTTATGTAATTTAAAAAGACTGGTGTAACCAATTTGACGCATCATACCTTGATTACCCGTATAGACTACCCCATAGGTGCCACTAGCTTCTCATCACGAAATCAGACATGCTCTAGCAAAAAGGCAGCATTACTTTACTATGCCTACTGCCAACATCCAAATTAAATACAACAAATGTATAGGACGGACAGCTGTAACCCTAGGACTACTAATAGAGCTGCAAGGGACTAGCTGTGTATTGACGAACATTCGGCTATTTGCCAATACACAAAATCTTTCTTTATCGGTGGTATGAGAACGTTATCCTACTATCATTCCTATTGAGCTCTTAAATATGATCTAATTCTAGCTTCGCCGTCTCACAACACCTTGGTTCGAGGCTTTAGTTTAAAATCAATTTCCCCAGAGCTTGAAATTGAACAGCGAATAAATTCTACGGTAAGAATATGATAGTCGAGAGAAAGGGGAGGTCCATTTGTATTTAGTTCACATCTACTTCTTAACAGCTAGCAAACAGTTAGCAAATGCTGTTAGTACAAGTCCCGATGAGGCTGTGAGGTCACCGTGCGTATTTGTATTCGGCTAAACTAATCTGCTAGTATACAGTGGTCATTGTGACGTCTAGATAGCAGCTCACTACTGCAGCCTACTTAATCGTCAGTAAATAACTTCAGCCAAACCTTCACTAATGCCTAATGATTTCAAGCCATAGCTAACCCAAATTTATTTGAGCCTTATCAATCGTAATTTACTATTTATCATATAAAGAATCATCCGTCTAAACCGATTACAATTTAATTACCGCATGCTTATCCATACACACCAAACTGTAACGCAGGCAGTACCACTCGCCGTGTGTGTATGAGTTGGATACCAAATAAAAGATACTCTAATCCAGAATGAATTCAGGTGGGGGGGATGCAAAGCTCTTCGCTAGAGTACGTCAATTAACCTTATCTTAATTATTCATATCTATTTTTGAGACTGTATTGCATCCCCTGGGATCAAATACCTTCAAACAACCGCGCTTTAGCTTCTGGTTTATTTACATACAATGATTTTATCAACTATGTGTTAGCAAATGCCTAAAACTGTTCATCCTATGAGTCCTTATGCTCACAAATATTCCAAAACGCATAGGGAAAAGTTGCAGAGCTACGTACGGAGCTGAATAGTGGACCTAAGAAAGATAAAAACTACACGGCTAAAAAAATCGCACTAAAGAAGGTCGTTGCGAATATGACCATGAGCAATAATGATATGGTGGCTCTCTTTCCCGATATTGTTGCTTGTATGGAACTGCCCAGTCTAGAAATTAAAAAAATGTGAGTATATATGCCCATTCTTATAGCTCACACTGACCAGCCACAGGTGTTTTTTATTTCTAGTTAATTACGCCCGCATAAAACCTGATATTGCTCTAAAAGCACTTCCTATAATCCAAGGGGTATTCTTGCCAATGCAAAACCTTCACAGGCTAACCATTCCTAGGACATGAACGATTCAAATCCCCTGGTTAGAGCATTAGCCTTAAGGACAATATCATACATTCACGTACGTGAGTTTGTTGAGGCGACTGTACCACCCACAAAAAAGCTTTTGCGAGATTCTGATCCATATGTTCGAAAAACTGCTGCTTTTTGCGTCGCAAAGCTTTACGACCACGATAGAGACCTCGTCGAAAACTCAGATTTGATCGATAGACTTAACACAATGCTGAGAGATGATAATCCAACAGTAGTTGCAAGTGCTCTAGCAAGCCTAATGGATATTTGGGAAAGGAGTGATGCAATCAAACTTACGATCGATTACGGAAATGCTTCAAAAATGGTACAAATTCTTCCGGATTGCTCAGAGTAAGATTCTCACTACTTTACAAAATATACCTAATAGAAGGTAGATGGGGGCAAACTTATATCCTCGAGGCATTAATGTCATATGTACCGCAAGAATCTTCCGAAGCTATGTTACTCGCAGAGCGTATCTCGCCAAGACTATCACACACCAATTCAGCTGTAGTGCTCACATGCATAAGGGTCATTCTATATCTGATGAACTATATTGCTGATGAAAATCAAACCTCAAGTTTATGTCGAAAACTTTCTCCACCTTTGGTGACATTGTTAGCAAAAGGGCCAGAAGTTCAGTACTTGGCCCTACGTAATGCTCTTCTCATCCTTCAAAGACGCCCGGAAGTGCTCCGAAATGATATTCGGGTCTTCTTTTGCAAGTATAACGACCCTATATATGTTAAGGTTACAAAGCTTGAATTAATCTTTATGTTGGCTAATGAGTCTAACATTGAAGAAGTATTGACAGAGTTACGTGAATATTCCACCGAGATTGATGTACACTTTGTTCGAAAATCTGTCCGAGCAATTGGAAAGCTTGCCATAAAAATCGAGCCAGCTGCAAAGCGATGTATCAATACACTTCTTGAACTCGTGGCTACAAAAGTCACCTACATTGTTCAAGAAGCAACTGTGGTCATTCGGAATATTTTCCGAAAGTATCCCAATCAATATGAATCAATTATTTCCACCCTTTGCGAAAATCTAGACTCTCTTGACGAACCAGAAGCGAAAGCGGCCATGATATGGGTCATAGGTCAATACGCATCACGGATAGAAAACTCAGATCTATTATTAGAGGATTTCCTGTATTCGTTTGCCGATGAGCCCGTTGAAGTTCAACTTTCACTCTTAACAGCTACAGTTAAGCTTTTTATTCAGAGACCTACTAAAGGCCAAGAACTCGTCCCTAAAGTCCTTAAATGGGCCACAGAAGATACTGATAATCCTGATTTGAGAGATAGGGGATATATGTATTGGAGGCTCTTATCATCAGATGTAGCTATTGCAAAATCTATCGTTATGGGTGAAAAGCCGCCTATAACTGCAGAATCAGAAAAATTAGACCCAGTGACATTGGAAGAAATGTGCCTCAGTGTTGGTACACTTGCAACAGTCTATCTCAAGCCAGTTCAACAGGTGTTTCGATCTGCACGACCCCGAAAGCTGACAGATAGTCCCGCTCTTCAAAGAAAAGCTTTATCTAGTGTAAACAACCTTGTCATAGACGATAAACCCACTGCTCAGGTGTCAAGAGACGGAAACTTAGTGGCAGCTGTAAGCGCCGCAGATGAATTCTTTGCGGGCGTGGGTAGTCATCACATGGCAGCAATGGATATTAATCGTGGACACGACGATGGCTTCGGAGGTAGTCCGTCTGCGGGGAAAGGAGAAATGCAATATGTAGTGAGCCAAAATGCACCTGAACAGATATACACACAAAATGTGGGCAGTGGATCTAATGGAGACCTCTTGATGCTATGAGATGAAGGTTAATACCCACCACTGATCTATTTCGACTTAAGCCCAATAATTTCATAGCCTCGTATCCGTCAAAAAGTATTTTTGAGATTATATGAGAGATTGATGATCCATCCTACAATCGTAGAATTTTCTTTCCTGAGAATAGTTTAATACAATTTATTTCGAAATCAATGTTCTAACAAAGTTAACTATGGTATAATCAAGAAACTGCTAAATAATCTTTCTCATGATACATATTTGGAATTAGAAAAGACAGGAAATCATATAGATCAAATGGCAGTGAGAGTTAAAGAGGTTGTTGTAATCAGCAATAATACTTTGATAAAGAGAATGACATTAATATCTATTTATTACAAATCTTACCAAGCCATAGATAAAACATAATCGTTTACAAATCTAATTTACGATTGAGGACCCGGTTCTGCCCAGAAAATTGCATCAAAGACCTTAGTAATTTGTGCCAGAAAGTGGGAATGAAGCTCGGTCGGAAATTTTGTTGTAGATATCTCACCTTCCTTCAAGGCTAATGAAAGACTAATTATCTCCAACGTGCAATAATTGGTTAGGATTAATATAACCTAGGATTTCACAAAAAAGCTTGCGATCTCTCACATTACTAACTAATCCAGTTCAAACTATAGCTACGACTCTTCTTTTTAACCACCTAGTGGCTCGTAGAGCTGCAATATCGTCTGGAGATTCATCACGAAGACAAAATACTACGATTTCTGGGAATAAGGCTAAAGCACATATCGAAGGTCAGAACTTTTTCGATCTGTTTAGGTCGCAAACGAAGGAAATATAGCGAGGATTCCACGAGGAGTTGATTCAATGAAAAATGTCAGATTCTTAAAATACAAGAACTGTCGAAATTATGGAGTACAGAGATGAGTCAGGTGATGGTTAATGGCAGTTATTGATTAAGAGATTGGCCGTTGAGTTTTCTATTATTTCTGTGTTGGGATGCACTTTGTCGATCCTACTCGGCTCGATAATTAGTAATCCTGACCGACTGGTGTTTGGCGAACGGAGATTTCGTATACTCTGTGTTAGCGTTTTTTTTGCATCAGATTTTAATTGCGTATGCAGCTACCGAGCTATTAAACAACATCAAAGAAAAGTACAGAATAGATGATTCAATTTAAAAGTAGAGCACTCATGCCTCAGATTTCATTTGCAAGTACCACTGCGAAGTTATGGCGGCTTTTTCTTCACCCCAAGTCAACCCTCATCCGGGAATACCCACCCAGGGGAACGTCTCAAAAACCCTGAGTTATCCAGACATGGCTCCATCATCTTTCAACTTTTCTCCGCGCAAAATATGGTCTAAGATGTCTCCTTCCCAAGTGGAGTAGGTGCCCAGGCCACTCAAACTATACCGGAGAACACCACCAGGAGGCGGACCACAGCATCTTCCATCGTCGGCTTGTGTTTATAGTGTCAGCTGCACTCTCGCAAGCGAAATCTTGGCGCACACAAAACTTAATTCGTAAAACTCTTGCCAAAATTCGGAATTTCACGCCCTTCGAGGCTAAATCCTTCCTTCGCATCATCTTATCAACTTGTCCTGATTCCTCTCACGTCCATCCCAGAGAACGGTCTTCCAGATTTGTGCGCCACGCTTTGCTTCCTCCGTCGGGTATAAATATCGGCGTGGGCGTATATCTGGTGGTCAACTGAGACCAGAGAAGGTCGAAGAGAGGTGTGGTCATTGAGATGAGGATGTACTTGGTCGTACTTGTAGACTTGATGAGACTTAGGTAGGCGTTAAACTCGTTGGGAGCGGAAAAACGACGTGGAGGAGTATTTTGAATCATTGCCTCGTTGGCCAACCTCTTGGATATTGCGAAATTTGACAGAACTTGGCTCTGGGGGAATATTTCACCCCCAGGTTCGTAGAGAACGTCACGTACAGGTGTTCAGTCTTTCCCTACCATCAGGGTACACGCATCTGTGGCAAGCTGACTCTAGATCAGATTCATGATATTCACAACAAAAGGACCTACATGTCAATACATAATCATAGACTTTATAGGGCAATAAACACATACACACAAACAATTTTTTGAAATTCGAATTTTGGAATATACCCATTTTCCCCTTCTCTCTTACTCTCTCGATATCGTGATTTCGTTCGCCCTAAACTCAAAATTTGTGAGCGACTGGTAGGCTATCAATATCCCCCCAGTGCGCAATACGCTATCGCGGGCGAAAGAAATCGTAGACAACCGCAAGCATCTCAGACACGTTGCTCGAAAGAAAGCAACCGACAAGACGGGTCCCCTGATCGCCGTTCAAGAGATGAACATCGACCAGTTGATCGACGAAAGTACCCTAGATTACGAGATGATAGATGTTATCAGCTTTGATATTAATAAGATTCTTAAGTATCTGAAAAGACTACACAACTCAATTCACTCCAAGCCAGACGCTACCGGAGCTGAAAAGGTAGCGACGAGCCACAAATATTTGGGGATAGCGACTATCGGGCAGCATATACTTCCTCTCATTTAAGTCGCTGTGCCGGCCATGAGGTGGGCTGCGACTGCAGATGTTAACAAGGCAAAAGGTGCAGCGCCTATCCCAAACCCTCTGGAACATACACTAGGGACCACAGAAGAAAACTTCTAACCTCACGGTGGAAATGAACGCAGGCAGACGTAGGAATGCCCCTCCCCGAACTCAGAGCCTTAATTGAGGCTGAGGAACGCCGGGCCGCAAAAATTGCGGAAAATGTAGAAATTTGCACCGCTGCAATAAACGGTGTCGAGAATGCTCTCTCCTCCCTATCCAAAGGGTCTAGTGTTCAATTTATAGACTCTATGGAAATCTAAATCAGAGCTGTAATAGCTTATTTCATGATCGCGGGACCAGGTACAATCCTACCATGACTTTCCCCACGCCCCGAAAGCCAGGCTACTAGTTGCAAGATCGCAGAATGTGCTGTTGGTAAGCAAAGTGTGCCACAAAGCGAAGCAATTCAAGCAGAAGTGCGCCAGGCCTAAACCACTTAGGCCTCGATCACCCGTAATGGCCTACAGACGCTCCCTGCACCAACAAATGTCCCGCAGACAATGCCCAAGGCGGCAAACTGTTATGCTCAGCTATGTAGTATGGTAAATCTAGTAGCTGGGGCATAGGTAGTTATTATGGCAGCATGGAATTATGGCGCATGAAGGAGATCCAGTCTCTATATCACGACATTACAAGTAGTAATGTGTGCAGTACGAGAGATGGGTTGTTAATAAAGGACAAATGGCATGGCTGCTGTTATGAATCTACTTATTGGCAAATTTTCGAAGCTGTTAAGCTGCAGAGGTCGAGTCGATTTCGACGAAGACAAATTATCGAAGGTTCGAGGTTACAAAGTTACGAAGGTCGAAGGTCGGATGTGCGGATTGGTTACGAGGAGACAAATGAAGGTGATCGAGGCTCGGATTATCAAAGTTACGAATTCATATGTTCAAATTATCATATTATCAAAATATCGAGTTCCCAATAAGCAAATTATACAATAAACATAAAAGAAACAAAATTGTTAGAACTCAAGAACAAATTCAAATTTCCAGCCTGAACAAATCCAAATCCTGTTGCCTAAGACCTAACCGAATTAAGAGGATAACCCCTGCATCACCACATCCAGATTAAATCTAACAAATTCATAACAGCTGCTCAGTTTGTCGCAAACTTTGGTGAGCTGCATACTGGTTACGTGATCGGTCTACAAGCGAATAAGCTAGGGGATAAGGGACGAGCTTCCCTCAATCTGTAAGATAACAATTATCACAGTAACTTAACTTCTGCACATTAATGAAGATATCTCTCCACAAACTATCTTAGCTGTTCCAGCGCAAGTGTACATTCCCGAATCGTATACCAATCTGTTGTGATGGGCATGTTATACAGCTAGGATACTTGCATGTACATAACGTGATTAGATGTTTACGCTGTTTGTGTAGTTCCTGTACTGTTTGGGATATCTGTAGGAGGAAGCTCATGTGGTCAGGAGCCGACTAGCGGCCGTACAAGAGTATAAGTAGCGAGTGCTCGGCACACTTTTAGTATAGAACAATCAAGTATAGTGAACCTCAGATACACCTTCAACCACAACTTGAAACTCATCAATCTATATACTCGTACAAAGTCGGCATGCATAGTGATACTAACCTAAGCTCATAACCACAATACAATCATAATACTAATTCGAGGCAAACGGCCAAAAATACAACCAGACTGTCACAGTTTCAGTACAAAATTCTTGGGCAATCTTGTAAGTACAGTATATTAATTATAATCCTCTGGAGAGAGAATTCCTCTATGTAAAGTCTACATATATATATATATATATATTCTAAATTACTGCCCTTCAAGATGATTCTCCCTGTGACCTGAATAATTGAGACGCTTCTACAACTACCTAGAAGGTTCTCGGTACACCTGTTATCCTCATGAACCTTCAGTGTGTTTCCAGAAGGTTCACTGAGAATATTCGAAGTTCTGTGGCTTCCGAGACCTTCCCCTTGTGCCTGTTACAGGCTGCGCCTATCTCCTAGTGACTGTCGCACGGACACTTATCATTATTACGTCATTAGCCTTGCTATCTAAAGAGATGTCCAACTTGGCCATACAAATACAGGGTTGCAACAAATATGGAAACAAGGTATTGTTGCAGCAAGTCTCATATGGAATCATGGGCCGATACGACCCAGTTTCGCTATGACGAGCCCACTCGGAATATCAAGGATATGGTGTAGTAGAATAGATAGTGAGGTTAGCGCATTGGGAGTTGGGACACCTTAAGTAGCCTCCCCTCGGTGGACAGTTCCGAGATGTATGTAGAAAATAGACAGTAATCGGCCACCATTCCTTTACTATATTGTTTTGTTGATCGCCCATCACAGTGCCATAACCTACGCTAGCCAGCGTAGGCTACAGGAGTCTTTCGGCTTAACAGCCGTCACACAGACCAACAAAACCGGCCTTGCAAGACGAACGTTTGT